GTTAGAATGTGAAAATATATACCAAGCAGTCAATCGATTCTCAAAATACATGAATTCATAATTAAACCAAAACCAAACCTGTTGCTGTCGATTCCGACTCACAGCAACCCTATAGGACAGAGTTCAACCCCGCCCGATAGGGTTTTAAGGAGCAACTGATGGATTCAGACTGACGACCTTTTGGTTAGCAGCCGCGCTGCTAACCACTGTGCCACTAGGGTTCCGAATTCATGATTAATAATGTAATAAACTCATCAGGATTTTAATAGTATATCAAGGTTATTACTAAGAACAGGTTTTATTTTATCGGTGCTGTGCCAGGAATGTTGGTTAGTAGGCTGTACTGGTGTCTTGAATCCTCAGTAAACTGGTATTTCAGTAACAAGATTTAAACTCGAGGTGATAGACATTTGAAGAATAGAATCTTTTCAGAATTGCAGATACAATGTTAAAAAGTTTTTATCTGAGGGAAGAAGGGTCTGTGAGGAGGGCTCTGGAAGTTCCTATTTAAAAAAACAAAACAAAAAATTGGAAGTCCACAGAGGAGATTCTATTATAAACTATTAAAATAAAAGACAATAATTCAGTATAGACCTATAGTTGGCAAACCAATTGACTGTAGGAAAATCTCTTCTGGCACAGTTCTTTATTGAACATTGCTGTCTGATCCCATCTCTGTTCAGTTTAACGCACACACTGTGAGTGCCCTTTATGAGTAAGGCACTGTGCTAGGCATTAGCGATACAAAATGATCAAAATGACAGTCACTGTCCTCAAGCTCATTATAATCTAGTAAAGGGAAAAATACAGAAACAGAGCCCGTTAGCTACGTGTAGTGAAAGGTGTCAGGACAGTTAGCAATAAGAGAGCTGATGAGGGGATCATAACCTCCTAGCTCAGGGCATGGAAGTCGGAAGATGGAAAGGTAGCTGTCAGGAAAGGGTTAGTTGGAGTAGGTGATGCCCTAGCTCAGCCAGAACTGTTCGTGAAGCTTAAGAGTTTCCATCCCATTAAGAACAAATGTGAAACAAAGATTGTTCATCACATTAAGAGCAGATGCTGGAATAAATAGGATAAAACCCAGAAAAATCGCATCTTTTGATCTCATTGAAACAAATGATACGTATTTTTTTTTTTGATGCAACAACAGGTGCTTGATTATTATTCAAACACTTGTATTTTTCTAAGAAATAAAATTCTTGGAATTTTCTCAGACTCATCCCAAGGCATATTGTTAAAATCAGATTAAATTTAACACACTCTTATCTCCCCAGAAAGTGATTGGTTGGATGGCATCCTTAACAGCAAATGCTAATATAGAAATATGTCAGAAGCCAGACATTTTTCCTGTTCTTTTAGAAGTCACTCCATAGAATTTAATCAGAGCCTATAGCTCAAATGGTTTTTCATTTGCATATGACTTCTCTACACAGTCAATGCAGTGTACAATTTGCTTATGCAGAAACTGTTCCAGTCAGCTTCCACTTCCTTCCATCTGATTTGGCAGCAATTCTAGATACCCACAACAGTTACAGAATGACAGCTGTCACTGGAACACGTAAGCTGCAGAGCAATAGATCTTTTCGATTTACCCCCATGATTGTCTTAAAAATCCCTTCTCTCCAAAGTGATTTTTAAAAGTCCTTGAGTTCTGTCATTCCTGACTGGTAGTGTATTCAGAAGAAATGATGTCGAATTTACTCCCAGTAATTCCACGTGTTAGGATGAGCATCGATTGAGAGAATTTTAATGGTAAAAGAGACTTTTGAAAATCATTTAGTAAAATCCCTTCATTTTATCACTGGTAGACACTGAGGCCGAGGAAAGCTAAATGGCCGACACATGCCCAACCGGCAAGATAGTCTGCTGCCAGGAGAAGAGGACCCTACCTTCTGTCTTTCGAGTTCAGGGTCTCTTACATCTTAAATTTCAGTGGACATGTAAGTCTCTTGGGGATCTTGTCAAACTGCAGATTCTTATTCTTAGTTCTGGACAGTGGCGTCAAATTCTGCATTTCTGCTAACAAGCTCCCAGGAAATGCTGATGCTCTTGGTCCATGGACCACCCTATGGCTTTCCACTAAGAAAATTCATTTCCCAAGTGAAGATAAGCATTAGCGAAAGGATAGTTCTGGTTCAGATAGAGCTGATAGTTCCAAAAAGGATTTGTGACCCCCACTTGTTATAAATGTTACCGTACGAAATATTCTGTGTGATCTTACTGTGTCGAGAAACCACTGTCCTGTAATGCACGTTTTCTGGGACACATCTCGTTAGAAGTTTGTAATCATTAGAAAATTGAGTGGGTAAGATTTTTTACTGCATTTACCTGCTTGCCCCGTGCTGGCTAATCACACTATTTTGCATCTGAGATGCCTGAATGATATTTTACAAATAAATGCTTTACTTTTCTTAAAGGGCTTATCATTCTTGAGCTATTTGTTAATTCCGTGATCCTTAAATAAGGCCGTTTCTTGTCTTGCCTCAGATGGCTGATTTTATCTGTCCCCGCCCCCCCCATCTCTCTCTCTCACACACACACAACACGCATGCTTTTCACACATCTTACTCCATGTTCTTTGTATACAGAAAATAATAAGAGGACTATTGTGAGATCAATATGATAATTTTTATGTATCAAGAATGCAAGCAGGTAAGATAAAAAGATCATTATAAAATGTCCTTAGTTGTGGAATTACCTACTTATGTATATGTCAGTATGTATCTATGGATTTATAGTCCTGCTTCAGAAGTAGAAAAAATAACTAAAAAGCCATTTACTTCAGAAATTACGTCTTCTGAGTTTTATCGAAAACAAGTTTCCATGTGTTGTTCTTACATATCTGTGAAGACATTCTTAATCAAAGCATATAGAATGACATTTTAATGAGAAATGGTCCAACCTCATAGGTTATAGTTCTATACACACATCTCTTTAGACAGATCTTTTTTCTGTTCACTGCAACAAATGTAGTCTAACCAGAAATACCCGGTTCATTTATAGACGTGTTTTGAAGGGTTCAGAAGGGCTACATCAATATAAAATATTTGTTATTAGGATTATTGATATTGTTAATGATCATAATTATGCTGTGAATTTATGCAAGTAGTCATAGGGCATAAAATCTGGAACTACTAGCATGTTATCTTGTAAGCCATTCTTCGTGAAGTAAGAGCATTATATATACCAAATCACTGGACAACAGTTTTTTAGTTCTGAGTTTGGCTTGAAGGGAAATGAAAGGATATTACCCCTACATTACTAAAAATGAATAGTTATATTCATATCTGTTTGAGGCTGTAACGATAGTGCCTGTTCTTATATGTGGATGTTTATTTACTCTTGAGAAGAAAGGATTGTGTGTAAATCAGTAAGCATATATTGTGTAAGGTGCTTTGCATATGTGCATTTACTGGCCCTATTTATTAGAACATTATACTGGATAGAATGAATCCATTCTCAAGTGCTTAGTTAATAGAGTAATAGCAGCAAAGAGATCAATTATAAAGGACTTCCATATTTAAGGACAGCCCCATTGCATGACCTGAAGGACGAAAGAATATCAACATTCTAGAGTTTTGATATGTAAATATATGTGAGTGAATAAAATGTAAGTTTTTTTCTAATAATTTTAAAATAGTTTTTACCTTAAATATAAAATGACATCTGTTAAATACTCTAGCAGAAAAGTTATTGTTCTAAATTAAAAAATGTGTTAATCTTTGATTTGGGATAACTGGGGTAAGTGAAATTTGTACTGATAAGAATCTGCTTCTACTGTCTGCCTTTCAGCATTAAAAAAAAAGGGGAAGCTTTTTCTTGTCAGTAATTAGAATATAAAAGTGTTTTGACTTGTAGTGTAGATTCATTGTGTTAACCATTTCCGGAGTTGACCATTTAACTTACATAAAAATACCTACGCAATACATACAAAATTGGGTACATATAAAGGAAAAAGCTTAGGTCATTTAACAAAGATTACGGATGGAACTATATAAATTCTCATCGAAACCGCTGTGCTAACGTACTAAGGGTCAATGCTCGGTGGCAAGTAAGATAATACCCAAGGGAGAATGACCGAGCTGCCCGTGCCTTGCCACCTCATTTGACTTGCCAACCTCACTTCAGTTAAATTTCAGTTAACTGATCTTTTGAAGACTGAATCAAACAAGAACACAAATCTATAACCCACAGATTTCATGGGACATGGTTTTCTAAATGTTTGTCTTTTCTTTTTCTTTCTGTTGTTCAGTACCCAGGTCATTTGTAGGAGTCTCCATATTCCCTAGGAGGAAAAAGTTGCCAGTCTGAAAGTTCAGTGTCTTTAGCGTTCTATTGCTTATCCCATTTTTGCCCTCTAGGTGCCAACCTGGATTCACTGGAGCAAGATGTACTGAGAATGTGCCCATGAAAGTCCAAAACCAAGAAAGTATGTTAAAATAATCTGAAATTTGCTTTCTTCCCAAAGTGCAGCAACAGTCACTACCACTTGGTGCTTTTACAGCTCAGTTGTAACTGATTCCTTTTGTCTAATCATGGTTCCGCCACTCAGGGCATAAACCCATTCAGTGTGACCATGTTTGACTGTCTGAAGGTCATACTGTTCAAAGGATGGCCAGTGATACTGGCAGGCCAACCAAAAAAAAAAAAACACAAAATTTTTTTTTTTCTTTCAATATTTTTGACCAAAGCTATCACATGGAAAACTGAATGAATAAATCAGATTTAATTTTAAGTAGCTCCCTTTGAAGGAAAGCAGCCATTTGAAATACTTGGACTTTTCTGTCCTACAAACCCAAGCACTATATTTTGTCCAGAAATTGAATCATTTGGGGAAATGCCAGAGTCTAAAGGCCATGATTAGCACAAAGATTCGGTTCCTGAGGGTGAACTCACCAAGTTCAGTCAGTTGACACTGAAGGAGCTTCTTTCTAGCATATATTCACCTCTTCTCTTTTTCTCTGTTTTTTCTACCATTGTTTTTTTGTTTCTTCTCTCAGGTGCCCAAATGAGTTTACTGGTGATCGCTGCCAAAACTACGTAATGGCCAGCTTCTACAGTACGTCCACTCCCTTTCTGTCTCTGCCTGAATAGGAGCATGCTCAGTTGGTGCTGCTTTCTTGTTGCCGCATCTCCCCTCAGATTTCACCTAGAGCTAGATGTGTTTTACCAGGTCTAATATTGACTGCCTCTGCCTGTCGCATGAGAACATTAACAAAAGCAATTGTATTACTTCCTCTGTTGGTGACTAGTTGGCTCTGAGTTACTAATAGGTGTGTGGGCTCCAGATGTTTCTGAAATTGATATTGAATAATGTGATACAAAAATGATAGTCAATATCAAGCAGTGAAATGACAATAAAGGCCTTTAAAAGTCTCACTTTTATTGGTAAAATAAAATCATTCCACTAAACAGTCCATCTTCTTTATAAAATGACAACATTCAGAAAAGGATGTTGCTAAGTTGCAACCCATAACAACTGAAATGATGGTAAGTTAATTTTGGTTCAGAATGTGTTGTTTATAACAAATAAACATAACAAAAAGTGTTCAGATGTTTCTTTTCATTAACCAAACAGTTTGCATTTAGGTATTAAAAAGCACTGAGTAGGAAAATTAAAAACAAACATTTCACAGCAAATGAGATATCTTGGCTTCCGTTTATATTGCTTAGGGAGTAATTCAGGTAATTTAGGACTAGTTTAAACAATCAAAGAATTTTTTTATGTTGGTTTTCAAGATAACCTTAGGGAAAAATTTTTTTTTTAATATTTATTATTTTGAAATATAACAGTTCAACTCTAGAATATGTATATTTTAAAATGCAGAACCGAGAAATTCTGATGGACTTTTGTGGTTTCCTGAAGTTCTAACTATCATTCCTATAACACCCAATTCAGGTTTTACATAATTGCATGGACAACTAGGATATATTTTTTTCTTGTGAACTGGGATTATTAGCTTTTGATCCTGGAGATTTCAAAACATTGTATTCAAAACAGATTCCATATAGTTATTCATTTAGATCAAGAGTTGGCAAATTTTTTTCTGTAAAGTGTCAGATAGTAAATATTTTAGGGTTTGCAGGTGATACAGTCTCTTGTCACAACTACACTACTCTGCCATTGCAGCACGAAAACAGCTATAGACAATACATAAATAGATGAACATGGCTGTGTTACAATAAAACCTTATTTACAAAAACAGGCAGCAGTCTGAATTTGGCCAACAGCCATGGTTTGCCAATCCCTAATTTAGACGATCAGTTGGCACACCATGAAAAATATTTTACATAGATTATTGCACTTTAAATTGACATAACATGAGAAACAGCGCTATGAGCTGGTCACTTGGGAGCCCTAAAAGGATCAGAGATTTACTCTTGTCTAGATGCAGGTAAAGTACAAGGTTCTGGAACTCATATTAACAGTCATAGGAGTTATCAGAATAAATTCCATAAAGCATTATGGGGAAATTAGACCCACGGTATTTAATCATTAATTTAGTGAGTTGGCACTTTATTTACGTGGACTGCATATCAAAGATTATGTCATAGGCCATTTTCGGTTGTGAAATTAATATTGTTAAATTTTCGAAGACAATCTTCATTTTCTTCACAAATATTTAAATAGTATGCCTTTAGCAGACATAATTTTTCTCTCCATGGTTTTAAATTAATTTTTCAAAGGTAGATAAGATAGATGGAAGCTGGAAACAGGAGGAGGGAAAATGAAATTTTATTCACCACCTTAAAGCCATTCCTTGTAGAGATGTGCTCATATTCAGTAACATAGATTTAGCCAAGCTCTGTGACCATATAAATACAATAGAATTATATTTGAGAAGTTATTGAAAATTCTAAGTTATAATGATTTTTGGTGTTACGGAGAATTTCATTGAGTATTGAAGACAGCGCAGGAGACTATATAGAGAAAAGCATTGACACCAGAGTATTTTCCAGAATGGAAATGGAGTTAGACCTAGCAATAGTAACCCCAGAAAATATTCTCAACTTCTCTTTTAGACCATTTTCTCTTTCATAAGATATCACTTAAAAATAACCACTATGTATTTCTGAATTTCAGAGTGTGATTCCTTAAATAAATTCTTTACTAAGCCTTAAATGACACTTTGGGGAAGCATCCAGGAAAGCAGTGTTTGTATTTAACCTGATTTAACACGATTGATGGGAAGCCCATTTGTGAACAAAATAGGTCATGACCATGATACCCTGCATCAAGAAAAGGGCTTCCAGTCAGAAACTGCTTTCCAAAGCTGTCTTGTGCACAGTTTTCTAACCTCTGTGTCTGAACATCTCAATTTTTATATCTACATGGCCACACATACCAATAAACAAACAAACAAACACGTTGCCATCGAGTTGATTCCGACTCATAGCGACCCTGTAGGACAGAGTAGAACTGCCCCATAGAGTTTCCAAGGAGCTCCTGGTGGATTCAAACTGCCAGCCGTTGGTTAGCAGCTGTAGCTCTTATGCCACCAGGGTTTCCGTAGCCACACATAGAAGGCAGGAAAATAAGGACATTATTGCTGCTCTTAAGAACTTCATGTTCAAGTAGCAATTAAACCTGCTGCCGTCGAGTCGATTTTGACTCATAGTGACCCTATAGCAATTAAAGGTACAAAAAAGGACAGAAAGTGTTGCCACAGAGCCCGTTTTTCAAATTTAAGTGTTTGCTTGTATTCAGAAAGTCTGGAAAACAGAAATATCAAAGGAAAGATATCCCCCAGCTTCAAAGAGAAACATTTTAAAACTTACCAAACCACGTTTTCAGTTGAAGAAAAATATTCTAAAAGAACGTACAATATTGTAAAATGTTTATTAGCACGTAGCTTACATTATTAGGATTTCATACAATGATTCTGAGTAGAATGGCCTGTGGGGGCATTTACTGATTTATAAAAACTGATCTAAAATGTGAAAGAAAGGAGCAAATGTATATTTTATATGCCTTTCTTGAAGGCAGCAATTTGTCCTGAAATAAAACATATTAACTGTAGTTTCTAGGAAAATACTGTCAAGGCTAGTCAGCCTTAAATTTGACCTATCTGGACACAGAATTCCTAGTGGAAAGGATAAGGGTCATCAGTGTGTGTGTGTGTGTGTGTATAAACCCATTGCTGTCGAGTCAATTCCGACTCATAGCAACCCTGTAAGACAGAGTAGAACTGCCCCATAAGATTTCCAAGAAGCAGCTAATAGATTGAACTGCTGACCTTTCGGTTGGCATCCATAACTCTTAACCACTGTGCCAGTAGGGCGCAGGAAATCCATAATCCATAATCAAGTTATAGAGAAAAAAGCATACACAGCTAAGATAGTTATAAGCAGTATGGAGTAAGTATGTCATATAGAAATTAATATATAATAGAAACTATATAGTAGACTATTTTTAAAGAGTACAACTTTAAAACTTTTAAGTATATTCTCAAAGTAGGTAACCTTAAAAGTAGTTTTGAACCATAGGTTACTAGTGTATGAATTATTTGTACTGATTCCTAAATGCTTTAAAAACCTGTTGCAATTATTAGTTTATTTCTTAAGCATATTTATCTTGCTGACAGTAGAATAAAGGCACACTCCACCCACACAGAATCATCGTAAATTCCAACCCTAACTGAGATTCTACTCTGCGTGTGTGTCTGTGTGTGTGTGTGTTCGTGTGCTTGTATGCTGTGCACATGGAAACTTGGGAGTAAGGAGAAAATCACCTCTTACCTTTCAAAGGGCTCAGTAGCAATACGGATTGGCATATGTGAAAAAAAAACCATCTACATTTGTAAAGGTAAGTCTAAAATTAAAAATCAGGTGCTAATTTGGTCCCATTTAGAACTGATACTGATAGAACTCCTGTAGAAACCACAGACGTGCAGAAAGTTAAGGCTACACATATGTCTTTGAGATTATTTGCAAGAGCAGACCCAAGATGTTAAAGAATAAAATCCTGAATGTCTTCATACTTAAATAGAAGCCATAACTCCATGTATGTATAATCTTGGTTTAAAAAAAAAAAAAAAAAGTTGTTTCATTGTGCTTGTCTTCTAATGAAATGGAAAGTTTAAATTAACCTACAGGTTAATCACTTTTCTCCAAACAATTATAAATTCCTAAGGCAAAGGATTAGTGAGTCAATATTTAATAGTTTCTGAAGACTCTTAGATTTGAATTAATTTTTTATATTGCTTAGTGCACAGCAGGAAATCACATGTAGAAAAAGAAACTAAATTGTTTACAGTAACCTTTGTGGTTTTGAATTATTAATTTAATTTGAAAAATGTAGCAGCCAGGCAGAAGTTCAATAGGAAGCATGTGATACTTAATGAGCCCTACACCAACATTAGATTAAATAGAACAGATAGAAAGGAATAACCTCTTCATAAAATGAAGTGTTTGTGGATTCTGCTTTTCTTGACTCGCAATGAAAGAAGTATAGCTACCAATAGTACAAATAAATGACAGCAGCATTGGCTCCAGGTCTAGAATGACTGATGCATGTTTCCTTGCCTGTTTCCTTGTTACGGCTTATGGCCAGAAGAGATGCTAATTTTAAGTATCAATTTCCCATTGAATTATTTGAAATTGGAGCTGCCTGATATGAATGACTTCCCATGAAATGAAATTATAGTTAGGCCCACAGACTTACCTATAAAACTGTAAATGCAGTAATATGTATGCATGGGCATGCCACTAATTTTATTGGAGACTTAACCAAGCTTTCTACGCAACTAACACAGATCATCAGCAGTGTTCACGTAGGCACGGAGTAATGATTCTCTGGAAAGAGTTTCTGTAGTTGTCTCTTGCTGTTAACCCTTAAAATATTACTGACTGGTAGGAGGAAAATGGACTACACCCTCATGGGGACATATAAGAAATTTATTATCAACTTGCTCGGAAAATGAGTTTTTTCACCTTGATTTTCCAAAGTTTATAGGAAGGAAGCAAAGGGCCAAAAAAAAAAAAAAAATCAAGCTGACAAATTGTAAGTTGCCCTGAGGCAATGAAATTCATTTTGGATTTGAATAGTTATTTTGCTGTGAACTTTTTGCAACCAACTTACCGTTAACCCTCCCCCCACCCACCAACACTGGGTTTTCAGTTTATGAAAAATTGAGTCTCTGCCTGTGTACTCTGGGATACAGAGGGACTCTCAGGTATAAGTACAGATTTATAAGCAACAACAACCCATTGCTGTCGAGTCAATTCCGACTTACAACGACACTATAGGCCAGAGTAGAACTGCCCAGTCGGGTTTCCAAGGAGCAGCTGGTGGATTTGAACTGCTGACCTTTTGGTTAGCAGCCCAGTGCTTAATCACTGCACCACCAGGGTTCCATACATTTGTAGTGCCCCCATTACCATTGTTACTATATTTACTATTTGATTGTTTTTTTTTTTTTATTATTATTAATCTGGGAGCTTCATTTCCTGAAGGGGTGGAAAGTTTCTAAAGACTGTATTCTTGGATATACCCCTTCAGAATTTTCCTGGCCATGAAATTAGTGAATAAGTAATCCTGAATGCAGCAAGTAGCCCGAGGTAGATCTCCAGATGCATCTGTATAGCTCCTGCTGCTGGCCGACATCATTCATGGGATTTTGGAAGGCACATCCCTCTCCCACAGCATCTCCTTTATTCCTCAGGGTCACCTGTGAGACATATGTCAGTATCATAAGCATTTTGTCAGTGAGAAATAAACTTGTCCCAAGTCACTGAACAGGTAAATGGCAGAGGCAGGACCTGAAACCAGGGCGACCCCAGCACCTTCACCTTCTATACTTGTCCCCTCTCTTTAGGAGTTACTTTTTTCCATTTCCAGATGTTTTTTGTAAGAGAAACACCACTGACTCGCATTTTTTTAAAATTCAGAAATGGCTGCCTCATATTATTGAGCTTCCTGGTATCTCTCAAGTGCACAACTAAGGGAGGGAAATAGAGACCTCTGGAGCTCTGATTCCGTTGCTCCCTCCTTCCCACCTGCCTCTTCTCCACCGCACTTGCAGAAGATAAGTGAACTCCCAAAGGGTCTCACGTGATGGCACTTGATTAACAATTTTTGTCAGGAACGGAAAGTATCGTTTCTGGGAGATTTTTTTTTAATTTTCTTCTGCCCCATTTTCCCCATTTCCTCCTTTGAGCCCCTGCAAGTTCTGCTGTTCTGCAGAGCTGGAGTCTGGAGTCCAAGTCGGCCAGTTGCTGGCTATGGGCTCACACCTTTGAGTACCTTCTGCTGGGCAGACCCTCTTCCTCTGGCCTGTGCTCTAACAAGGTGGTGGGGGGGTGGTCTCAGTAGGGCATCCTGTGAAAGGATTTCTTCAGAGAAGCTCAGCACTGTGGACCTGTTACCTAATTTGCTCTCTGATATTTGAGGGAGTAATAGAATTAACTTAGGACCTCAGGAAGATTATCTGCTCCCTGCCCCTTTTCCTTTTTTTCTTTTTTTTACAGTTTGAAAAAGCGTTATCCTGTGCCACACAGGAATTATATGGGAAAAAAAAAAAGGAAGCAAACTCAGTTCCTTGTCCCAGTCCCCTTGCTGGCTTTTTGGTCAGAACGGTTTGTTGCTTTCTGTGAAATATGTAAGTGGTGGAGAAAGTGAAAGGTTAGGAGGAGAGAAGTAAGATTTATTTTCTAAAAGTAGCCAAAGCAACAACAACAACCAAAAAAAAATAGAATAAACTACTCAAAAAGGCTGAAAAATATAAGGTCAACATGATAAACTTTTCAGACCAAATTGGTACTCTCTTGGTTTCTACTCCTGGCTCTGCCACTGTGTGTTTTTGGATTAAATATTTCACCTCCCTAGAACCTTGCTTCTGCCTTTTACAAAGAGGGGATTGAAATTATCTCTAATGCCTTTTCTGACTACACAGTTCGGCCTTTCTATTCCCAAACAATGAAGTACTGTAAAGAAGAGCACAGATACACAACTTCCCCCTCGGTCAGGTCTTTTAAGGGTTAATAAAGACACAGAGTGCCGGTGTTGACAGGCCTCTTAAAAAGAGAGGGTCCCTACGTGGACCCAAAGGAGCTACCTGAGCACTGCTCTGTTAGTCACCTACCCTGCGTCCTGTTTGATGTGCACGCACAGAAAGCCATGATAGTCGTGTGTAATGTGTTTTGGAGTGCAGTGTATTGCTCTTTTCTGAAACCTTTTCCCTTTCTTTCTTTTTTTTTTGTCAACTTTCTGCATTGGCAGAGCATCTTGGGATTGAATTTATGGGTATGGACCAATCATCATTCCTTTTAGCCTGCAGAATTTAGAGCCTATGAGCTTAAATCTTTTTCCCTCCCTACTCTTTATCTTTCAGTTCCTAACTAATTTCCTTTTTCTTTAGAAGGGGTCATACAGCTATAACAATGATTTCTCTGCTTTCAATCTATGATTAGTTTACTGAAATGTGACCGAGCAAGCAGCAGCTTTTATAGTCCCGAGCTTCACCTCACCTGCTGCAAATTCGTATATCTCCCACATTGCTTGACCCACTGGTTGGATCTGGCCATGGTGTTATATTAAATTTGGGGTAAGTTGGAGTGGTACAGAAGGAATCAAACAAGGGACCTGAGAACAAAAGAAGCTTCTACATGCATCCACTTAAACACCCCACATCTTAGACTGATAGGCGTTTGACATACAAAGTAAAAAATCATGTATTTAATATAGTAGGAGAGAGAGCCCTTGCATTACCACACAATTTCATATGCACAAATTTGAATTACCCTGATTTTCTGGAGATGTTCAAGTACCACTGTAGTCAACGTCATTATCTTATGAGCAAGGAAATAGAAAACAGAAAGAAAGATGGCCTTGTGCTATTTTAGGTAGAAATTCTAGTGCTAATGGAATTAAATTTGAGTCACTAAGATGATGCAGACCAGCAATCAAATTGAAATGGTCACACTGTAAACATAAAGAGAATATGTCATATGAGCCTCTGATATATGGGGGTGCTCCTTTGGAAGGCCTTCATCCTAAATAGTGGGGAGAAAAGGCTAGAGTCGGGAGAGGACCGGGAAAGCTCTGCCCCAGCTGGTTTCTCCGAATACAGCACTCACGCCCGCAGCATGGTCATGGGCCAACAAAGCAGGGTCCCGAGTAACAGGACATCTCACCATCCAGCTGGTCTCTGTGGCCTCGTGCACACGGCACCGGCAGCTGCTGCCTTCTTTTGGGTGACAACGTCCCAGTCTACACCTAATAGCCCTTCTATAACTAGTGGCAGAGGAGGATGTTGCAAGCTCTAGCAGTTACAGGGATGGAAACTCAATGGCCCATCTCCTCCAAAACACATTCCCAGAGAAAACTCTTAATTTGATGGGGAGCGACTCCAAATCTTTGTGAGCGCTCGGAGAACATCTCCCAAGAGTGTGAAGTACAAGAGGACACAACCACCATCGCTAGGGTGGCACATGGTCTATGTTAGGAGAATTGTAAGTTGAGGTTAATGCCATCGGGATGAAAATTGTCCCACTTCTGAGAAGATGATTGGCCTTCCTTGCACAGAGGAAGAAATCCCTCCCCTTTATTCCTAACAGCATCTTTCTCTTGCTTTATTGCTTTGGGTCCACTAAGCCAGTACACTGCCTCCTTAAGGAAAACCAGACCTTAAAGGTCAATTAGAACTGAAAAAGACAAGGGCCCTGTCTCTGGGCATGGCTGGATCAGACTGAAAAATGTGCTGGATCTCATTCACTGCAGTACCTCCAGCCAAACAGTAAACTTTCAGAAGCATTTCCACTCACTAAGGTCCACCCACCAACTGGACAGATTCTTTTTTCTTTTTTAACTTCTGCCTCTAATTTACTGTTGCCCTGTCCACCCTGTCACAGTAAGAATAATAATAATAATAAGGGGGAAAAGGGAGTTAAAAGAATCCATCATTTATATTCTTCAAGTATTCTTCCTTTACTGCATTAACATTAACACGTTAATATTCTGTATAAAATCATAGGAAAATCAAATAGAAATTTGGGTGACAAAAGTAGTGCATTCACTAAATGCTGACGTAAATATAGAATCTCAATCCCCCATCTGTATTCCGTGGACCTTGGCTTTAATTGGTTCACCTTAGTGTTTTGCGTTACCCATTGGCCTTTATTGAGCTAGCTTTTTATTTCCATGAAATAATCCATCCCATGACTGATTTTACTGGAAGACGCATGTGTTCCTATATCACATAGGAAGAAAGGGTGAGCCATCATCCACCGTTTGTTCACAAACCCAACAACAACCACAGAAAACTTGTCAGGAGCATCCCTGAGAGTAGGCGTGATGCCCTTTTTTCCCTTTAGCCCTTACACGTGTCCCCATTTTTATAGTTTGCAGAAGCAATTTCCCAGCTATTTCTAAAGACAGAATGTTACGGTGTCAGAGAAAAAGTGCTACCATGGCCTTACAGTTTTAAGAGAAGAAAAACTAGAGTAAGCAGAAGAGGACAAAGTAAAGCAAGGCAATGATGCTTCCACTCCTGTTTATTAGCCAACTCAACACAGCCGAAGGCGCTCTTCTCTGTGGTCTTTGGTCCGTGGAGAAGGGCTGGTGGGGTGCGACCTCTGCGTCTGAGGCATCCATAAACCTGATCCAAATGCCAACATCAACAAAGAGGCTCCAGTGGCATCAGCTCAAAGATTAACACCTCATAAAAATTAATTCCCCATCCTGTGGCTATGGGGGGCTGGGGGCGGGCAGACACAAGCAATTTACATAGAAGCAACCGGGTGTCGTGTCCTCGTTTGACTTTTCCAACAGTAAATATGTGACACCGACTCTATGTTTCCTGGTGCGTTGCTTCACCGCAATCTCACCAGCTGCTTTGCTTTCTAATCGTGGCTTCCACACGCCCGCTAGCCTAAATTAGGCGTTATGCTGTATGGGATCACCCTTCCAACTTTGCATCCACCTTTTCTCCCCCCACCCGAGCATTTCTTCCCTCTGGTTTTCTTTTTATTTATTTATTTTTCCTCCCTTAGAATCAGGCATGCTGTGCCAGGGACTTCAGATGGCTCCTTAACTTTTAACCTTGTTTTCCCTTGTACTTTACTTCCTCACTCACTCTGTCATTCTGTCAGTCTGTCTGTCCTCTTGGTTTGTTTTTCCTTTCCACTTCCAACCCTTTTTGGTTTGTTTTTGTATAATCTATGCAACGTTCTAGTCTTTTACCCACTGACTTCTGTTGTCCTTCTCCTCCTGTTAATAATCAGTGCTCTATTAATTTGATTTGATGATGTTCCTGACCTGTTAACTGGAATTTGATTACCATGGGCTCGGCTTGTAGGAAATGTTCTGAATAACGATAAGGTGCACTGTATCATAGAAATTAAAACTCTCTCAAGAGAGACAAAGTTGAGTTGCCCTCTCTCAATAGAGACAAAGGTGCAGTGGCTGAGACTGGGAATATAAATTGGAAATATTCCTTGAGGAGCCCATGTTGATGTCCGGATAAGACAGCTTCATTTCTACAACATTCCCCCAAGTTCTTGACCAGCTTATTAATTAGAATGGCAAGTACATCGTTCACACTGTTTGTATGTACCAGTTGAGTTCTCTTCCGAGTGAACTTGTGAATGTCTTCCAATAAGTCTAATTAGACTTGTCGGAAACTCAGGTCCTGAGGGATCCGCTCACCATGAAATCCCCAAATCTTGTTGAGAACCTGACCTACCTTGGTATAATCAAGTTATCCCCAAAAGAAGCTGATTTGCAAATTGAAAAATTTCACAAATTAGAGACTCTGATTGCATTTGGGGTACACTAGTGTTTTTAGTTAAAGTTCTAAGCATCACATTTCCTTAGGATAACCTACATTAGCTAATTTGCCAAGTTGGCAAACGCAGCAATCTGCAATCTATTCCAAATCACACATCATTTTTGCTAGTGGTTTCTTTATACAGATACATTGCTTCTCTGAGGACAGTTGGTGAAGTAATAAGAATTGTTCTCCAAAGGACAAGTCTTCATTTTGGCCCAGGACTTTCTTACCCGGCACACATCTTACCCATCGCTTTCTCTGATACAGTACCCTGTTACTCAGTGTCCTGTTGCTTCTTTATGTTCTCATTTTGTGGTTAAATCATAGGGCTCCTGCCTCGATTTAGTTGCTAACTACAAGCCAAGCTCATGTTTGTGAATATTTTTCAGTTTATTTTTAAAAATTAGTTAGAAATGTGGTTCTTTGTAAAGACCACTGGAATGAAAAGTGATGATATAAAATAGCTGGGAAAGAAAAAGGGGGGAGGAGGGAGGAGAGAGCAGGGGAGGGACGCAGCGGTGCTATCCCAGCTCCTTTGTTGGTGTTGATTCCTGTTGTCTTTGCAAGAGATTTTTTAAAAAAAAACAAAACTGCAAGTCTTCATTAATAATTAATGTTTGTGATTTGCTAGTTTCGTATCACATCTTCTGTATCTATAGCTTGTGGTTAAAGTAATTTTATAGTTCAATATTTTTTTATTGTAAATGACCCCAGCTGGCTTTGCTGTTGGTGCTCAAAGTAGAGCGCAAAGTATATTGTACTTTAGAGCCGTGTGTAGACATAACGAATTGTGGCGTATCTGTTACAAACTTGGACAGTGCCATGCAGCATGCCAACTGTTGTAGTTTTAAGTCCTGGCGTATGTAAGTGACCTGTGGTGACATCTGCTCTCATCCCTTTCCAGAAGCTGAGGAGCTTTACCAGAAGAGAGTGCTGACCATCACCGGCATCTGCATCGCTCTGCTTGTGGTTGGCATCATGTGTGTGGTGGCCTACTGCAAAACCAAGTAAACCTCTCTCCTCCATGCCTTCCGCTCTCCTTAGCACAGAGAGGGATCACACGCAAAGGCTTTGCAGAAACCAGGCTCCACAAGCTAGGCTTGTCAATAAAAGGGGTGGGGGAGGGGGACAAAGGGACTTCTCCCCCTGTTCTCTGAATAATCCATTTCAAGGTCCTTTCCTCGTCACATACATTAGAAACCTCTGCCTATCTGTGTGAGTGTTTGGAAGATTTCTGATGAGTGACCACTGCTCGTGAGTGAAGGTAGGGTTGAACGGACAGTCTCAGATGGGAGCATGTATGTGCACATGTGTTTGTGGGTGTAAGTCCCACACACTGAGAGGAGAGGGATAGACACAAGGGGTGACTCTGTCATATTGCTGCAGAGCAAAAGTCCAATTTGCACTGACACTTAGGAGATAAAGGAAACACTTGGCTTACGAAATGCAGTTTCTGAAAGTTATCATGATTATTTTACAAGTCTGTCTAATTAGGTCACCAGTACCAAAGTTCTCAAAGTGTGAGATGTGAAAAAGGAATCATGGGAGGAAAATCAAACAAAACATGCTTTGGAAGAATAACAGAGAAGACATTAAAATAGATTCATGTTCACTATGTTGGATCTCTTAAATCTGCTCTGTATTAACAAATACAATTACTGTATGACAGAAATTCCCTTCACTTTCCTCTGATGTATACCTTCTACTCCAAGTTTCAATACTGTTAAATTAACAACCTTTTCTTTTTTTGCTTCATAACATATATTTTCTTCCAATATTTCTTTATTTCTATAATAATTTCATCAGTGATTTCAACACAGTCATCTGTTGTTGTTAGGTGCCGTCTGGTCGGTTCCGACTCCTAGAGACCCCGTGTCCAACAGAACGAAACACTGTGCCATCCTCATGACTGTTGTTATGCTTGGGCCCCTTGTGGCAGCCAGTGTGTCAAGCCATCTTATGGAGGGGTTTTCTCTTTTTCGCTGACCCTCCACTTTACCAAACACGATGTCCTTCTCCAGGGACTGGTTCCCCCAATAACATGTCCAAAGTATATGAGACAAAGTCTTGCCATCCTCCCTTATAAGGAATATTATTATGATCTGAATGTTGTATTGAGCAATGAACACAATATGCTTTTATACCACAAAATCAAGGGCATGGATTGTGTTTTCTCAATACCCATGATTTAGTGTATTGCCAGAATTGTGTAAGTGGTAGAGCTAAGCCTTCATAGCCTCAACCTTATGAGTCTAAGTAGATCCAATCTTAACTATTTCAATATTCATAACCTAGTTATACAAAAAGTGGGAGTAGAGTAAGATTATATTACAATTGTGCCAAAACTGTCTGGCAAAATATGTACATATCCTCACCCATATACACACTATACGTGCTTGTGCATACTAACTAGGTATAAGGCACAGCTTCAAAACTACATTTTCTTAAGAGATTCACATGCAGAACTATAAATTAAATCAGCCTTATTGATTCTGCAGCACAAATTAACTAAGACAAACGACCATCTGTAAAACTTAAGCAAAGCTGGATTTATTAGGAAAGTTGGGATTTTAGCCAAATATCAACTTGACTTCTTTTGTTTTCTTCTTTTTTCTTAGCCCTCAGCAGTACAGCTAAATTTCAGGAAGAATCCCATTTAAAAAAAA